ATTCCTGATCTTTTCATTACCTGGAACGCGGATATTAATTTTCTAGAGCACTTCTCTGAGTGATATCACTTTGCTCCGTTCTGCGAAGAATATTTTTATCACTCTAAAGCTAGAACTAGCTCTGGGGATTAAATTGTTCAGGTCGTTTTGGTTCTCATTTTAAAGTTCCTTCCAAGTACAAACTGTGTTTATAATAGTTATCTTCACGAGTCTTTCCAATAAACTAATTTTAATTATCAATCACTTAAAGGCTCGCAAGAAAATTTAGCTGTAGTGTTCCATTCCATGTTAAAATATAATGAATGAATTTTTTGTTAAAAAAAAAATCGATAATCAATTAATATAATTAATTTGATTGCAAGTATGATGATCTGTTGGCTTTTTGGATGCGAACAGACTAAAAAAATTTGAATTTATGTTAATGGTGAGTTCTGATCAGCGACGACAGTAAATATATAACAGCAATTTGGAACCAATCCTTCAACGATTAAATGGTTTCAATTTATTTCCAAAAGACCGAGAATGCAATTAGTGAATAATTTGGACGTGAAAGTGAATATATTGAATACACAGAACACACATAATTTCAAAACAAAACATTCTAGTAGTGAAAATACCAAAGCAATAGCTTGTTGGCATAATAAAACCCATTTGGAGCTGAATTGCGATCCAGCTGGCTCGGACCCATTCGCCCGAAATGCAATCGCATAAATATGTCATTACCGCGTTACACAGTTGCCAAAAACATTTGTCCGCCACGGCACAAAGCGCTGGGGCTAATAAAACGTGTACACGGCACAAATTTCCAGCAAAATGTGTTCCCGACCGGCTTTCGGTCTTTGTTGTTTTAACTCGGCGGCGGCCACCAGGGGCGCTGTGGGCGAATTAATTTCACTCGCTCGCCATAGTAATAATGATGGCAGGCGAGATGCTTTGCAGTTATGGACATGCGGTCGTGAAAGCTATTTATGCCTCGATACCGAGCCAAAACAATTTCATGTCGAATGGCCCGTCAGCGATAATGGCGTCGCGGCCACATCAAAAACGAGATCGCGTTGAATTTCATTCGGCGGTCGAATTGAAAAATTCTGTTTGTTTTTATTTGTGTTTGCATAGCCACGTAATCTAATACGAAATGGAAAATATACGGGGTGTATGAGGGCTTTGTGTGTGCGCGGCTTATCTTTTTTGCGGATCTCGTTCCTCAAAGCCATCAGCGGCAAAACAAACAGTGCGTTTTGGACTTTGCTGCTCACCACTGTCCAACAGAGCTTGTGGTACTGCTGGCAGCGCAGTGTGAATTTTAATGAAAGCAAGATTTTTCATCTAGCTGGTTCACAATTTATCAAATTAATTTAATATAAATAATTATTTAGGTTTACTTTTTTCTGCTCTTTTTTAAGAATTTCAATTATTTTATTTTAAAATTTTTGTTACTTGAAACTAAAAATTTCAGTAACCAAAAACAACCTCCAAATAAAATAAAAAATCAAATCAATTGTACATAGATCAATTTTTTTTAATTACAAAAATAGCTTCAGACGTTTATAAATTTTGCTACGCTCCTCTATTTTTGTATGCAACCAGTAGAGACTTTTTCCATTGGAAAAGCTAAATTTGCACATTTCAAAGTTCACGGCACGAATTCGCGTTGAAACGGGCAGCTCTCTCTTAATTTGATCTCGCTGCCTGCGCCAACTTTCAACATTCACTTGCCTACGACAAAGTGAATATATTCGAGCAGCTACGAAAACGTCAGCCCTTTTTCAGCCGTGCCTTGCTAAAAATGTGTCCGAATGAGTCTGGGCTGGAAATTATACCGTCGAAAATGAGCAGCGACTGCCGGAGCAAAAAGTAATGCTCTTAACCCCTTCACATGTGAGAGATTCTCTCCCTCTTTGCGTCTCTCTCCCTTTTGCAATCACGGCGTTTGAAAAGTGATGAATATTTGAGGCGGCTTCTTTTCCGTTACGGCAAAATAATGCTCGTAGGTTGTGTGTCTCTATCTAAAAATGTTTCGCGTTTGAATTGCACGCTAGAGAATAATGATGAATATAAATTCGGCGCATATCTCGACAAATATTGCGCCGTCGGGCGAAAGGATTAAACCACTCTTTCGCTTCTGCAAAACGCGCTTGGATTATTTTTATCTGTATATAGTTGCCGGCGCGAGAGGGATTTTTTGAATTAAAACTGAGCACTCGGGCGAAATTCGAGGAAAACGTTTAGTGCTTTTTGTCGATTCGAACAAAAACATACGCTTTAAAAAAAAACCTACACACACGATCGCGCTGCGAGGCTTCAGAGAGAAAAAGAGATAACTGACACCAGCGTCCGCCACGATCGACAAAAAAACGTCATTTTATTATTTGTTCTAGTTCCATATTCCATAAACGCCGATGGCTGTAGAAATATCACTTTTGAACTGGATCCAGAAATTCCTCTCGTTATTTCGCCATAAAATGACTGAAGATAAGTTTTTTTTTAAAGTATAAAAAGCTTCTTTTTTTCTCTCTCTCCTTTATTTCCAAGGATGAGAAATAAAGATCCCGCCCTCATTCTCCATTCCGAGCAACATTTTCTGTCCAACCCCCTTCCTTCCAATTACATTTGAGCGCAGGTTGCATCCGCCGGGGCGTCGATCCTCTGGGTAAAAAGCAGAAGCGCCGGTGGAAATTTTTCCGCCCTAGTTGTGGCGCAGCGTTTTGCTCGATGATACATTTTTCAGCAGCTGCATTTAGTGCAGCGATGGGGAAACTGCATTTCGCAGTGTCCACCGTGTATTATATAAAAGCTGAAATGCGGTACAGCCGCTCTCGCGTTTGATGTGTTGTGTGTGCGTCGTAAGGTTTCATTAACTGCTAATGAAAATACGCGCGCAGCGGCGAATGTGCTGCACTCTCCCTCGGTACATAATTAATGTATACGAGTCCCTGAGGCGAGAAAAAGTACACAGCTTACACAACTGAAAATTTGCTGTCCGAGAATTACTCGCCAGCTAATGAAAGTGTGCTGGACTGGACGGTTGTGATGCGCAGAATTGACTCATTTTAATTTTTCTTTTAAATTCAAAACTGAATCATTTCTTTGTATTTTAATAAGTAGAAATTATTAAAAAAACCAAAATAAAAAATAGAACAACAGAATTTAGTTCATTCTGCCCTTATTTGAATGCATTACTTTTGTGATTTTCATCCAAATTTTTAATTCAATGTTACATTTTATAATAATTTATATAATGAGCTTTACAAAATTTTGCAAAATTAAATTTTAATTAACTCTTTAATTTTAAATTCTAGAGTTAAAAAATTTTTTTGCCTTAAACTAGCGCATATCTTCACTAGAAATAACTGCCTATTTTCGTAAAAAGATTTTTAAGGAGATCTGAACAATAATCTTGATTGCCACTTCAAAAAAATTGTTTTTATTTTAAGATACTATGATGCTGAACAACATGATTAATAGTTAAAGTTACTTCAAGGTTAATTTTTTTTCTTTAATATTTTTATATTGACAAATTGCCAAAAATTGAAGTAGTTTACAAACATATTTTTCCAAAATGAAATATGATGAAATTAATTATTTTAAAGTATGTTGCAATTTATTTAAAACATAAATTTTAATAGTAAAATTATTTTTTATCCAAGGTGATGACAATCATCTGGTTGTTGAAAGTTCACATCTTTTAATATATCATCATTTTATTGAATCATAAGAACATTAATTTTAGGCTGACCAATAAAAACTGCTAATTATAGTTTAAGCTTCAATGGAACAGTTTTAGCCAAAATGGAAACCGAAACCTCGTTAAGAAACGTCTATGGTATCTACTATGCAGCCGTAAAACACACCTATGGGTATATTTATTTTGATTGTAATGTTATTACAGCCGGCTGTGTAAACAGTGCGTGTAATTGAGCCCCACGTTCGGCTGCTTGTCTACACACCGCGCCTCGCTCCCTCCTTGTATGTACAATTGGGTTTTGGTGTAAGCGAAACGCGGCGTTTATCCAACATAAAACGACTTAAAAGGAGAAAATAAATTTGACGGAGTGACACGGACGCAGAGGGTCCCGTTCGGGAACGCGTGCCGACCGAATCGCAGCCGCTATCTCCTCAGAGACAAATCACACGGCACGCCAACACTCTTCAAAATGCTGTGATTCCGCCCTTTTGTTATGCGCCTGCTTATTATTAATATTTCGGCACGCAACCCCCCCAGCACGCCTTATTATCCAGCCGACCCTCCGTGCCGGTATAAAAAATGCAGCCGCGTGTTGTTGTGTGTGTGTTATCTGCCTTTATGGCTCTTCTTTGTTCCCAAATAGGCTGTTTCGTTTCAATGTGGTATATTAAAGAGAAAAAAACGAAAACTGACTGCTTTATCATCCGTTTTTAATGATTTTATTCGGCACATTTATGCCAGATAAGAAAACGTAAACGAGTAAATAATTCATGAATAAAGCATCTTCTTGATTTAAATTGGATGTATACGAATGAGGGCAATGTGCCAAAAATTGGTTTTTCAATTTATGTATTATATTATATAAATATTGTATATTTATCTTCATTTTACCGTCTGATGGTGAGTCAATATGAGATATATTGCAACCATGATTGTAATTTTTCCATGAGATTAACACCGAGAAAAAGTTCTTTCAATTTGATGCTCATGGCGATCCTGATTTGAGACCAGTTGGCGAGGAGCGAAATCGTGTTCGAATTGAGAAATACCTGAGTCCTGCTACCGCGGCTGGAACGATGACCAAATTGAGGATGGCCGCTGCTTGTCACTTCTCCAAGACCCGACCTCGCTGGGTTTTCTTCGAAAAAAAAAACACTCAATTTGGGGACCATTTCGGAACTGACCCTTAAAACACAACTTCACCGGTCTTTTTGTAAACAATCACTGACCCCGCCCCCTAATTTTCCCTCCGTTTCCGCAAAAAGTAGGCGCGACTGCATAATGCACTGATTGGCACATTGGCAGCAGGGCACAGATTACAGCTGGATTACAGAACCCGTAAACAAATCTAAGCATGCGAAATCATTTCTCGCGAAAGAAACCCATGTGTTTCGCTCGTCAGCGGCCGATCGCCGACTTTCCGTGATTGAATTCATGAATTAATTAATGCTGGAAAATAATTTTATATTTTTAACGCCACGTCGACCGAATTTTCCGTCAGAAAATAACGTGTGATATATAGCTGGAGTCATGATGAGCACTCTTAGGTTTATGAACGGATTTATCTGCGTTGCGCATTAATTTAATTTGCTTTTTGTGTCATTTTAGGTCTCTTCAGAGCAAACATGGCCTAAATGGAGAAGAATCCCCAGATTTTTAAACCTTAAAAGGCGCGCCTGCCTTGGCTTGGGAGCCTCTGGTTTGCATTTGCTTCGACACGTCAGGCAAAGTGTACCCTGATTTTTGGCGCTGACAAAGGTTTGGTTAAAGATTCAATTGTTTGCCTTTCTTTTCTGTTCAAACATTGTTGCGTCCTTTTTCAGGTTCTCTACATTTTTGCCAGCAAAATGAATGATTTAGCCAGAGAGACATTTAGCAGACGACACTTGAAACAAATGTCAAGATTTGTGTGGCTTTCTTCAACCATCCAGAGGTTTGGAAACTTCTCTTTTCTAAAATTAAACCAACGTTTTATTTCAGATATTTTGCTTTCCCTCACTGTCCATCAATTTGTGAAGATGATGTTTAATGTAAAATATTTATTGAAACACATTGCGTTATGCAAAATTTATTTTTCTATTGAACTTCAAGTTAAATCAAACAAAAATAAATGTTAACTTATTTGTTAGAAAAGCGTTTTTAAATTAATTTAAGTCTAATTTGAAATCACTTAAGTAAAATATAATTTCAATTCTTCGTTAAACATTTTGTACAAAAAAAAAATAATCATGATTAGACTTAAAAAATTGTGTATGTGGTCATGCAAAAACTAATCACCAACGCAAACAGTTGATTCCTGGATTGAAGAAATTCTGTGATAAACTTTTAGAGACACACCGTCTGCCCAAAAGACAACCATCAAGCAAACATACGAATTATATATTTTCAAATTTGTGTTCGAATTTTGAATATATGATAAATTTAATCTAGAACCGTTTCTTCTTAGGGATTCTGGAGACCACACTGAACAAACACAAGCTTGATTTCTTCTCACAGTTGCACCATCATGGAAAAAGGTAGAGAAATCCCATATTTTAAATTTATTAATTTTTCTTGCAAACACGTGTAAAATTCCTGATAGCGGTTGATCTATGCTTCAATCAATTATTAATATTGGCTCAAAAAATGGATTTTTGGCTTTTTTAAGAAGTGCAAAAAACTCAAAATTCGTCATGCATTAGCAATATTTTGACCTTTTGGAAATTGGATATAGGAAAACTCAATTGTGACTTCGTGTTGGCTGCACAAAACGTGCGCACAGCTAATTTCTTTGTTTGCCATTTCGCGCCAGACAACGATTTAATTCCAGGCAATGAATTGCCACGATAGAATTATATTCAAAGCCGGACAAACTAGTGCCAGTTGTGTAAAATCGGGCACAATGCTTTGGCATAATATCTGCGCGAAACGCACACGTTCGGCCCGTGAAAACCAATTTTGGCTGTGAATACGTGTGGCTGAATAAACATTCTGACTGCTTTGGATAGGCGCGCGTGCACCGACCGACATACAATAATATTACAGAGGTGGGCGCGGCACAAAGAGAGAGAATGTAATTTTCCGTACGGTTGAATTTAGATTAATCATCAACACGAGGGAGAGAGCGAGCGGAAAGCAGGTGGATGTGAGCGTAACGAGAATTTCATCAGGCCTCTTACGTGTTTTTGCAACGTTGATATTAGCATGAGCTCTCTTTTTCAGAGCCTGATTTGGTATATATTTGTTTGCCGAATTGCGAGACAAATTCCCCTGCTATTTGCGTTGCTAATTCTGCGCCTTCATCTGACAAAGAGAAAGGCGGAGGTGTACTGATTGAAATTCGCGGAAATTCCCTAGAGTGAAAAAGCAACCAAAGCATATATAATCAGGAGGAGCGTTAAGAGTTCGTACATGGGCCTTCACATGCAGAAAGTAGGTTTTTGAAAAGGGGTCGCTAACCTGTTTTTGGCCTATAATTTAAAGTGAGTCTATTTTTGATACAAGCAGTACTTTCAATTTTTTATTAGAAATTTGAGTTGATTTTAATTAACATAAATGATAAATTTTTTTTCACAATAAAATTTCTTTGTAATTTTTATAAATAAATATTATTATTTTGTAATGAAATAAAAGTTAAAATTTCAAGAAATTATTTGCAGATACAATTCAAGAATTAATTATTTGCTCACTAATGTCACTGACTCCATTTTTATACCCATTATAACAAAGATATCAAATAATAAAACTAATTTATTTTAATAACTGCTTTTTAATAATTGAAATAAATAAATTAAGCTCTTTCCTGCAAAGAAATTAACTTTTTTTAGATCACATGAATTACATAGTTAGAAATGAAATTAAATTATGCAATTAAGAAAATAAATATGTAGCACAAAACGAGTCATAAAATAAATAAATAAATTAATACACTTTTACTTATTTGTTAGCTGAAGCTGAAGGTCAATTTGACCGTTAAGAATGACAACATAAATGTGAAATTGCACTTTTATTGAGAACTGCAAATCTTATCAGCCAAATTGTTGCGTGAGCGATAAAAAGCCTCCGGCAAAGATCCCCTTTGATAAATTAGCCACTCGATCCGGAGCAAAACGCTCGGTTGGCCCGCAATCGTTATACAGCAGCAATCGGAAAAAATCGGCGGTCAATCGCATGTGTGCTTTAATTTCAATCAACGACCGGACGATTCAAAGTCGAGTGTGTCGATTTCACTCTGGCTGCGGCCAGAGTGAGACGACCGCGGCATAACCATAAAAACATTGTGGCTCGCTCGCTTCGACGGAACAATACGTGCTGCAGATACAATCTTTATTTCCGGCCTGAGACCTCGGCGAGCACCTCTGTGTGTTGCATTCAGAGATAAACACGCGACACACACGCGAAGGATTGCTTTCAACCCTCCGCATCCAGTTTACGGCTCTTCTCTTTAAGTGAACATAATTTGAATTTCAATTTATGACTTTTTTCTGAAAAAAAAAATTCCATAAAAATTATAATTTCATAACTTCATTTCCAAGCATATAAATGATGAAATAATGACCCAAAACTATGAATAAATTTACTTCCAATCAAACGTCCCCTTTTAAAAATGTAATAAATAAATTCAAAACGTATATATGTATATAAGTAAATAATTACATATGTACCTCTTAGCGTTCCAATTTATAATCCAAAGTAAAATATGTGTTGATAATGGCAGTTTTTACCTGAAACAGAAGAGAACCCAAATTTAATAAAACATAAATAATCAAAAAAATGAAAACTGCATTACATAATAGTATTTGTTATATAATTATTTACACAAGTCGTCAAGCGTTTTCAAAACTGCCAATAAAACCACTATCAAGTAAAAAATTATTACTAAATTTTAAACTGACGGATTAATATTATACAGTTATTTCTGTTCAATCAAAGGTTAGGCAAAGTTTCAGCGATGAGCAGCACCTTAATATGCAAGTTTGCGAAAATATAAAATCACCGCGGATCGATTCACTCACATCCAAAGTTCAAAGGCAAACACAGTGGGCGAATGAAATTTGCCAGGAAGTGGAAACTTTGCAGACGAGTGAACCGACGGGCGCGCACGAGTGGCGCAGACACTGACGGAGGTCTGCGTGCGCGAGATGGCCGCGCGCGATTTGCAGCGCCGTCAAATCACAATAAAGTAGAGATGGACGAGGCGCTCTTGTTGGGCCATATCAAATGGCCAGCTGGATGTTTGTTTAGCCGGCGGAATGGAAACAACTCGCCGCGGCTAAAGAGGCGTGCAAGAGTGGAGCGCATTAACTTGGATGACACAGATTTCATCATCTGATATGCGCTCATGAATTTTCAGACCTCCGCAAAGACCTCTTTTTTCTCCTTTTATAATTCGCCCCTTTTTTTCTTTCAACAAACTGCTCTTCTGGAAAGAAAAATAAATATAAAAAAAGGAAAGAAAATATTCATATTGCTGCTGAATAATTAAAAGAGAGGCGCATAATTTTAAATTAAAAACAAAACGAGAACGCGGCCGTTATAATCTCGAGCTTTATATTTTTCCAAAGAAATGAATTATTAACTCGGCGTGGAGCACGTTATACTTTTTGCGCCTGCAAACAGAGCGAAATTTAATTACCGAGAAGCTGCGCTGCGCCGTTCTCTCTCGCGCGCCGGAAATGATGACACATGCAAAAATCGATGGCCTAAGTAATTTAAACTGTTGTGTTGCTGCCGAGGGAGGGAGTGAGAGAGAGAGAGGATGTAAAATTTCCACTATAAATAGTGCACCAGATAAAGTAATAAATATGTCACTTTGCTTTGCTGTTTTTGTTTATTACTGCATGCGGTGGGACGAGATCCGACCATATACGTTTTACTTCACATTATGAATATTTGCCGCGACGTATTCACACACGTTATATTGTATTCCGCGCGCGCCTACATTAAACTTCATAAACGACGCTCGCACGGCTTACTTTCCACCTCTGATTCTGATTTATATCATTCGATGGTGGAAACGAGCTAACAAAATCTAAGCCGCAAAATTTTGCCAGCAAGAAGAGTGGAATGATATTTATCATTATATTAACAAAATTCCATTGTTTATTGAATTACTTTTGCCACTGATTTTCGAGCCCACGCAACTTTGTTTTGTTTCATGACGTGCACGCCATTCAATTTGCATTATTTGAAAGCAGAATTTGACGTTTAATCGTGTTTCACGGGGGTAATTGTAATTTTGAGATATTGACAGGTGCAGTGGACATACAGAATCTGTATGTATTTGCTTTTGTTTTTGAAATCAAACGGCCATTTAAATTATAATTCAGGCCATTCAACGTCGATACCTATCAGCTTTGTATTTGCTGATTTTGACAAATTATTCAGTGAGTTCGTATATATCGTTTTCCCAAGAACTATGTAAGTTTCTTAAGACCTGCACAACAGTAATTATTCAAACTAGTTAAATCTACATTTAAAAATTCTTCCGAATTTAAATTAATTATAATAAAACTGTCTTTTTCATTTACTTAAAAAAAAAAAAAAATTGAGAAACAACAATGGTAAGCCTGAAAGAATTTAAAGTAGAAATTTCCTCCAATACTAGGAAATTATTCAATTTGATTTTCATCCTTTGGAATTATGAAGGAGAAAAGGAAAATCAAGCTATAACGTATGCAAGCAACTTAGGGAATAACTTTTTCCAGGAGAGTTATAAAGTACCAAGAACTTAATTAATTTCTATCGCACACACTCCTTGGCATTTTGTTTACCCGCACAGCGATTTTAATCGTCCTTGCAGACACAAAAGACTACCTTGCAGCGCGAGTTGCTGCGACAATTTTCTAAAAGCATTTCTGCATTCGAGCTCGCTTTACTTTGCTTTTTGCGCTCAAAAGTAGTGGAGGATATAGGAAAGCCTTGATGTTGGAGCGGCGCCATTGTAGCCGGTGTAAGGAGCTTTACGTTATAATCTAGCGCAAACAGCGGCGCCGTCTCCGGTGCTGCATCTCCAGTTATCGCGCGCACGGCACGTATTTGCTTCTTTTTATTATTCCTTTGTAGCCGCTCCGCACCACGCTAAACTTCTTTCTCCGCGGCGTGTGTGAGTATCCGCGAGCTGACTGAAAGAGGAAGTGCAAGCACACGAGAGACACGCCACCACTTAAAACGCCCCGAGACACTCAATTTGAGGCCCCACATATTTTCCCAGCGAGCTGAAATAAGAAGGAGGAAATTGATTTGATGCTGGTAGCAAAGAGAGGTGGTTTGGATAAAAGTCAATAGAGCTTTGGGCTGATTGTCAGTTTTCTTGCCACACGTGACATGAATATCCACATATTTATGAAATTATGCATTGTGATTTATTAAAAATAAAAAATGGTTCTCCAGCCAATATCAAATTACTTTATCACATTCGATTCCAGAATTTACATAAATTATCGATAAATATTAAAGAAGGTGAAATTATACATTAATAAATAATTTTCTCTTTCTCAAATTTTGCCGATTCATCTTTTTGTAAAAAAAAAAATTA